AATGAAACAAGGTATATGATTTGTTGAATGTAAAACTGATGATGTGCCCTGTAAACTTTCACTCAATCCACAATAAAAACCTTAAAATAAAAAATAAAATAAAAAAATGGGAGAAGAAGGATTGATTGAGATTATAGGGCAAAAAAGGGCTAAACACAAGTGGAATGCGGGACCCTATCCAGAGAAACAGCAACACTAGCGATGGAGGCAGGGATGAGGACGTGGAGAGAGGGAGCAGCTGAGGACTCTAGACTCATGGAAAGAGAGGGACTGAATGCTGGCAGCCAGGAGGCAGGCTTGCAGAATGTGCCCTTTGATTGTTTAAATTATTATATATTCCTGAGTGTTTTTGTGTCCCTCCCCCACCAAAATAAAATAAACAGAGGGAATGTAAGCAAATACTGTTGAAGGATGATGCACAGAGGAGACTGTAATCATTGCAATGAAACAATGGTGAAAAGCCAATGTTCTCCCATGTAAACTATCACTCAGTTCACAAAAAAAAGAGTTAAAGCTCCCAAGTCCATCCTTGTGACCCCTATTGAAGATAGAAAATTGGTTGGAGATTTAAACAAGTTTGAACTGCAAGGTCAGTGGTTCAAACTCACCAGCGGCTCCTTGGAAATCCTATACAGGGTCGCTATGGTTCGGAATCAACTCGATGGCACTCAATAACAACAACAACTATTAAGTGCTAGACTTTTACAGTCATCATTATAGTTCCCAGTCAGCCAGTGACATCTATTGTGCTAGTCCTATTTGACAAAAGGAAACTGAGGTTTCCATCCCACGAATACTCACTGATATCTGCTATGTGCCAAGTGCTTTAAGAAAAAAACAAGAAACAAATCCATTGCTATCAATTTGATTCAAGTATAGAATACAGTAGAACTGCCCTCAAGGGTTTTCTGGGCTGTAGTCTTTACAGTTGTTGCTGTAAAGTGCTGTACAGTTGTGATTGTTAAGTGCCGTTCACGTCCTGTTGTTAAGAGAATTTCCAATGAGAGGCCGGTGGGTTTGAACCACTGACGTTGCTGTTAGCAGATCAGTGCTTATCCTACAGCGTCACACAGACTTACCACCAGGACTCCCAGGCATCTTAAACCTACCACCATTGAGTCTGTTAGACTCATTATGAGCCCCAACAAGGTGGCTGGTGGGTTTGAATCATGGATCTTGTGGTTGACAATCCAACGCTTAATCCACTTCACCACCAGGGTGCCTTAGTCACTCTTTGTTGTTATTGTTGTTAGCTGCTTTCGAGTTGGTTTCGACTCATAGCAACCTTGTATAGGGTTTCTGAGGAGCGGCTGGTGGGTTTGAACCATTGACCTTGTGGTCCAAACTGACCTTTCTGTTTGCACTAAGTCTAGTGCTTATCCAACAGCGCCACACCAGGAGTCCAGATACTCTGTGTTGTTGTTGTTAAGTGCCGT